GACACACCTGAACCCATGGTCCCTGCAGCAAGGACTCCCTGAGCTACCAGGGTAACCCTCTTTATGTTCTTTTAGTTTTTCAATTTTTATTTATTTATATAGTATTTTTCTTCTTTGTATTTAATTGATTAATTAATAAATCCATTCTGCTTTATTTCTATGAGTTAATTTGTGATTATTTGTTTGTTTTTGTTTGACCTGAAGCTGTTACATGACATGAGAGGACAGTGTTTCATAAAGCCTCCCAGCAGGTGGCAGCAGCAAACAACTATCTGCCTCACGTGTGAAGTCAGAAGAAACATATAAGGTATGATTCATACTCTTGTAATGCAGGCAATGTGTAATTTGAGTAATATGTATAAAAGTTAGTTACAGGAAGAAGAACAAACCACTGGTTTCTTTATAGCAAACAGACAGGATTACATGCCACACTGTGTTGTATGTGTGCTCTGTGTGCTCTTTGTACTGTGGGTGGCAGCAGAGGCAAGCACAAATGACTGTCCTGCACTGGCTCACATGCTTCTCATCTGTCTCATGCAGATGTTTGTGGACTGCTGAGCCAGTGTCATGTACCACTGTTCCAACATCAGGAACCCATTATCCCAAAACCATTACCTGCCTTCTACCCATCTCTCCAGCTATTCATCTCTGAATACACCCACTTACTCCTCTATTCATACCTGTCAGGTGCTAACACTTTGACAAAAGGTGGTCACATGAAAAGAGAGGCATTTCTATATTGCTGTCATATTGTTGGCTGAGGTTTCTTAGCTAATGGCATTAATAATAATAATAATAGCATAGGGTCACTGCTATTTATCATGTCCTTGAAGTCCTATTTAATTCAGAAAAGTTTGTTTGGCTTCCACACTGCGGTTGCTGCTCATTGATGCACAAAATGCAGATAAATCTGGCTTCTATGGCTGCCAGTAGTGCAATGTCAACTCCCATGATCCTAAATAGCCATAGTCATAACAATGCCTGCGACCAGCCACAGCACTTCACAGCCATAAAGCCCCCCTGGCACGCTCAATTTATCGTACATTTCGCACTTTCACACTGTTCAGAGAAAGACCTTCATGTGGCATTAGTGTTACTTTCTGGAGAGGCCCTCTGACACCCAGCCTGATGCACCTTCCGCGCCTCGCATTCAACCTGAAGGGAGAGGCGCACAGAGAGGACCCCGGTACACAAATGTGGGCAGTTTGGTTTGCGGCTGACACCCAGCGCTCTGAATAAATGATCTAAATGCTCGCCAGAGATTATTTTGCCACTGCCGCCCCTCAGCGATGACACGGGGGGGGGGGGCAACACACCCCCTGTGGCCCTGTGATGGCCAGCCAGGATGAATATGAGGAAATGAGGCAGACATCCAGTAAATAATAGTTGCCATTGTGCCCTTCGGCAAGCGATGGGGCCAGCGATGGGCTGGAGGGGGTGGGGGGCTCCCCATGATATGCCAGGGCCTGACATGGCACCCAGACCCAGAGCTGTCACCC